ATTTAAGTTGCTGCAGTCGTGGACATGCAAGGTCCTAGAGGCGTACCACTGGAAGCTGACACATCCGCATGGTAAAAATTGAGAGCGATGCGCAACACGCCAGCAGTGTACGGACTTTTTACGTGATCAGACTCACGAGGATAATTTTTTAGGGAAAGCTGGAGCAACGCCGTACGAAGCTGCAGTGAAATTTAATTATTCACCGCGCGAGCTTGGTGTTGTTGTTGATGTGATATCAATGATCAAGAGCTTAAGTGCAATTCTCACAAATGTTGAGTCTGACGTTGCTCCATATGTGCGCTTGCACGTCCACCATGAGGTGCAACAGTTTGTTGCTGGAGAATTGATACCGCCGCTGCACCGCGCACAAAAACGCAAGCGGGCCATTATAGTCCCATTATTGAAGCTTCGTCGCTTGGTGGCTGATTGGCCCGACTCGATGGAGCCAGTAGATGACTACACTCGGTATTCCAGGCAAGACGGACGCGTTGAAGCAGTACATCCCGTGCGTGTGGTGGGACCTAGCCCGACGCAATTACAGTTAATGCGCACTATGGTTCGCAGTATGTTCGACCAGCGAAATCAACTTAAGGTTGGCATGTTTTCCAAAAGGGATCTCGAGCGAGAGGATCTTCAGCTGATGGAGACTTTCTATAATGAAAGCCTGTGCTTCCAATATATTTTGAACCACGCGGTCACTCTCCGTGCGAATTCAGATCTTGCTGATTTGTGGTATCGCGAGTTTTATCTTGAGCTTTCTGGGCAAATTCAATTTGCAATTGAGCTGTCGTTTCCTTGGATTTTGACAGAACATGTCATTACCAATCAAGCTAAATCCATGCCTCTAGTTGAAAATATTTTGTATACTATGGATGTCTACAATGATGCAGCCCACCGATCCCTCTATGTCCTCAGCCAACGATTTTTATATGATGAAATTGAAGCTGAAGTAAACCTCGTCTTTGACCAGTTGATATTTCTGATATCTGACCATGTATATTCCTATTACAAGGATAATATTGGATCGAGAACCATTGATGGCCCCTATCGTGAACGTCTGTTCCTGATGCGAAGAGCTTATTCGCTTGATGTTCCCGCACGCCGCTGCGACGTACCCATGTCACAGCGACACATTCAAGTGCTAGGACGTGTCATAGATCTCAATCTTCTTATTACTCAGCACGTCAATGGCAAGTTTTACAAAGATATCGAATATTGCATTAAAAAATTTGAGGCATCGGAGCTGTCGAGTGTTGTTGACTTCAACCGTGCATTGCAGATCGTCCAGGAAACCCATCTTTCTCTCGTCTATCACCTTGAGCTTGACACTTTCGAGACAATCCTCACTGAAGTTGACGAGGCTGTTGGTCCGACTGCGTTTGCAGGGCGGACACTGATGCACGTACTTGCATCCTTGGTCACTGATATCTTCCCAAATTATGCATATAACAATTTTACACGTCGCTTCGTGCGTTCACCGGTGGCGCTTAAGCCTGTTGATCGTCCAAAGTCACCAAAGGCAGATCATCAGCACTTTGCCGTTGGTGCTTACACAGCCCGCGCGTTTGAAATGGCAAACAAGCTGCATCGCAGCTTCGTAGGCAGCACCCATACTGCTGCTATTGTGAGAATTCTTGGAACTAGTGGCGTGCCTCTATTAGTCAATAACTTGCTCACCAATCTTCAGGAAAGGCTCGAAATATCGAAGGCTTATTTGGATGCAATCA